TTTTCCAGATAACATTTCATTTTTCCCCCCTCCTTTTCAGTTGCAGATATTTAGAATTTCAGCTCTCTAGTTTTATGTTCCAGTGTATACAAGTGTCTCATCTGGGTTGCAGTTACTGCCTGGAGGGAGTAGTCTGTGAAACCCCCTGTGATGTCCCACCAGCTTGTGTGGTGACGTGGAGAGACAGAGCCAGTGTGTGGTGTCAGAGACCCTGAGGGTCGGTCTCAGCATCCTCCTGTCCCAGGCAAGGAGAGACCTATGGCTCAAGGGACCAGCCTGGCCATCCCCTGCCTGCCCCTAATACCTGCTGGGCCATGGTCAGATGGGGAGAACCAGAAGCATTAACACTGTCACTGATGATTTTCTGGGTGCCCTTTCATTTACTGATTTCCTTAGCCTTTTTTTTTTTCCCCACCAGAATCCATGAGCTGGACATAAAAGAAATTCAGAAATAGTTTAGATTCCCAAATAGTCTGCTTTTTTTTAAGTTACATTTTCAGAAGAAAAACAAAGTGACTGAACTCCAGAGCTGTCACAGAGATGAACAAACTGCAGCTGCCACTGTAGCTTTGCTGAAATGCCTTTTGTCTCAAGCAGTGAAATTCATTCAGTAACTGATGTTTTTGCATCTTGAGTAACACCACGGTGGGGAGCACACTCTGCTCACCCTGCTTGGGCAAGTTGTCCCATTAAGACAATAAAAGAGTCCTTCAACAAATTATGGTGGCTTTAAGTTACAAGATTTCATGCATCTCCAAACAATGGCAGTACATTTTGATTCCCTCCAACTTACATTGATACTCCGTCTTGTTTATATTCCTCTTGGGCAAATAAAATCTGTTGCTGTGACAGACACCTTGAGCTCCTGTTTAGTTCCTATACCCAAGGGGGTGTTTTGTTGTTTGGTTTTGTGTTTTTTACTTTCAGCTAATTAGAACCAGTTGTTTTAGTGGCTTATTAGACTATCAGAAATTGCTGCTTTACCAGGGCAGTGCTATGTGGTTTGGATGTATGTTCCACTTACAAATTAAATGTCTCGGTTCTGGTGTTGTTAAAATAAGAAGTAAAAAAAAAATAATAAAATTAAAAATCCCACAGCTTTGAATTTCATGCCAGATATTCAACAAAGAGCTTGTTCCATGTATCATTATGCTGTGGCTGGAGGAGCAGCAGGGGCCTGCTCTGCAGCTCCTGGTGCTGCTGGCAGGGTTGCGGTGTTGCCATCTCCCACCGTCGCGCTGGCTGATGGCCCCAGCATGGAGCTGTGCTGGGGTGGGATTCCTTTTGCCCTGTAGTTTTCTCTGTTTGGGAAACTAGTTTAAGCTGTGCCTCTTCTGAAGAGTTGGGTTGCTAGGGCAATGTGGTAGACTGGGAATTGGCTGGAGGTCAGAGCTCAGAGTGTTCAGTGGGGCAGAGTCTGGTTGGAGACCTGTGTTGAGTGGGGTCTCTCAAGGGCTGGTACTGGAATCAGCCCTGTTCAATGTATTGATCCATGACCTGGGTGAAGGGATGGAGTGTGCCCTCAGCAAGTTTGCTGATGGTACAAACCTGGGAGGAGTGGCTGACATACCAGAAGGCTGTGCTGCCAGTGAGACCTGGACAGGCTGGAGAGTTGGGCAGGGAGAAACTTGATGAAATTCAACAAGGGTCAGTGTGAAGTGCTTCATGTGAGGAGGGATAACCCTATGGATCAGTACAGGTTGGGGGCTGACCTGCTGGAGGGCAGCTCTGAGGAAAAGGACCTTGAGTTCCTAGTGGACAACAGGCTGACCATGAGCCAAAAATGTGCCCTTGTGGCCAAGAAGGCAAATGGCCTCCTGGGGTGTATTGAGAAGAGTGTGACCAGTAGGTCAAAGGAGGTTCTGCTCCCCCTCTGTTCTGCCCTGCAGAGGCCACATCTGGAATATTGTGTCCAATTCTGAGATCCTCCATTCATGAACAACAAGGAACTACTGGAGAGGGTCCAGCACAGGCCACAGAGATGATGAGGGGACTGGAGCATCTGTCTGTGAGGAAAGGCTGGGAGAGCTGGGGCTGCTCAGCTGGAGAGGAGGAGGCTGAGGGGGGATCTCATCAATGCTTATAAATATCTACAGGGGGTGTCAGGAGGGTGGGACCAGACTCTTCTCAGCAGTGTCCAGTGACAGGACAAGGGGCAATGGGCACAAGCTGGAGCACAGGAGGGTCAAGTTAAACATAAAGGAAAAATGTCTTTACTGTGAGAGTAACAGAGCCCAAGGCAGGCTGCCCAGAGAGGTTGTGGAGTCTCCTTCTCTAGAGACATTCCAAACCATCTGGATGTGTTCCTGTGGGATCAGCTGTAGGTGACCCTGCTCTGGCAGGGGGGTTGGACTAGATGATCTTCAGAGGTCCCTTCCAGCTCTGACAACTCTATGAGGGTTGTATCCCCAGCAACAGACCCTTTGGAAGTGTAGAGAAGTCTGTTAATTTGTGTTTGTCTGTTAAATTGTGTTTGCAGGACAATTTCACCAAAAGTGCTGGTTCAGGTTTTTTGCTTGTTCTGTTATGTTGTTGGGTTTTTTTCTTTTCTTTTTGTGTGTGTTTTTGTTGTTTTGTTTGGTTGTTTTTTTCCCCACCAGTACTTCTTTCTTGAGTTACAATGGCACTTTGAAGACCCAATGAAAATTGATCTCTTTGTTCTCATGACTTGGGTGTCTTGGGTCCTTTTCTGTTGCCTGCAACACTTTTTCATAGAATCATAGAATCTGCTGAGTTGGAAGGGACCCACCAGGATCATCGAGGGCACCCCAAGAATCACACCATGTCCCTGAGAGCATCAGCCAAAGGCTTCTGGAACTCAGGCAGGCTTGGTGCTGGGACCACTGCCCTGGGGAGCTGGTTCCAGTGCTCAACCACCCTCTGGGTGAAAAACCTTTTCCTGATATCCAACCTAAACCTGCAGCTTCCTGCCATTTCCCCCAGTCCTGTCACTGGTCACAGGGGTGAAGAGATCAGGACCTGCCCCATCTCTTCCCCTCCTGAGGAACCACAGAGGTCACCCCTCAGCCTCCTCTTCTCCAAGCTGAACAATCCAAGTGACCTCAGCCACTCCTCCTAAGACATCCCATCCAGACCCTTCCCCATCCTCGTGGCTCTCCTTTGGACACTCTCCAATGGCTTCATGTCCTTTTTACATCTTTATACTCTTGTGAGGAGTGAAAGCCTGAATCTGGAGCCCAGACCGGAGCCCCCCCTGCGCTGGGCTGGCGGGAGCGAGGGGGTGCAGGCTTGGAACTCACCAGGAGATCAGGTCTGGGCTGTTACTGTGCCAGCCTTCAGGGTGGTTGTGTCCCCCCTGCTGAGCCAGCCCTCTACTTTTAATTTTTCCTGCAGCATTCAGCCTGTAGCTGAACCCTAACACTGAACCCTGCACTTCCCCTGGGGCACTGGCACCCAGCTGCCTCTTTGCCACCTTCTGAGATGGTGACAAATCTCCTTTATTTATTCGGTAGTGTCAGTAACCTTTATGCTATTTATAGTGTCTGAGCATTCCCCTCCCGAGATGTTTGCAAGATAAATTTGTCTTCCTTAGCTTCCCAGGGCCAGCCCTCGTTGCTTTTCCTTGCGGCAGCCAACGAGCCCGCGGTGCGGGAGCTGCGGTGACTCATGCTCCGGGCTCGTCCGGGACGGACTCATCTCCAATGAATCTCGGTCCCTCCGAGCCCGGGGAGCCCGGGCAAGCGGCTGCTTCCCAAAGGCATCCGGCGAGGGAGTGGTAGGGGATTAAGGAGAGGAGCACAGAAAAAGCCTGCGGAGGAATGCTGCCGGGTGCCTGGGAGCGGTGGGGCTGGGAGGGGAAGGGGCGGTGGTAGGAGGGGCCGGGGTGTTCGGGGGGGGCCCTTCCCCCCTGCCCCCTCTGCTGCCAGAGCCTGGCAGGGGACTGTCCCAGCCAAGCCTTCCCTCCTCCCGAGGCTGTGGAGTAGGATGTCTCTGGTTGAAAGGCCAGGTTTTCCCGGGTGGTTCAGGCTGTGCAGGGTGGTGATCTCCAAAAGAGCTTTTCCAGGTGCTCTCCGTTCCTGATGGGTGTTTAGACATTAACGAGTTGTGCTCTCAAGGCTGGCTGAACACTGTTTTTCTCCTGACTTGCTGCACAAAGTGAAGATTGGTCTAGTGGGGGTGGATTTCATTTCATTTCTGTCATCACAGTAAGAACCCATGTGGAATAAGCGGAAATGAACACACGGTCCCAAATCTCCAAGGCAGTTGTTCAGTTTTGTAGCTTCAGCCCGAGCTGCTTGTTCTCAACAAGTCAGGGGTCCCAAGCTCCCCTCTGAGCTGCCCTCCTTGAAGGTGCAAACTGTGGCTCATCATGGGGCTGGGGAGGTTCTGCCCTTAACTTCAGCTGAGCTGCTCATTCCTCTTGGGAAGGCTCTGGATGGTGTTTTCCAGGGATGTGGGTGCTTGTCCCCCAAGATGCCTGCAAATGAGCCTGCACTCATCAGGAATGCGTGTGGAACAGGAGCTGGAGCAGCCCACATGGCTCTGGGCCAGCCCAGTGGGACCACAGGAGTGTGTCTTCTTCTGCCAGGGCCACGGCCGGTCACAAGCATCTGGTTGTGTCAACCCAACTCAGCCATGCTGGCTGGCGCTGGGACATCGTTGGGACTGAGCTCTCTGCCCATAGCCTGGGGTGCTCAGACCCACAGCCAGGGCTGGCAGGGTCCTCTGGCCTCCTGCAAATCGTGACCTCAGCAATGAGTGTGTCAGCCTTAACACTGGAAATGAAATCTCATTTGCTCCATCATGAGTGCTGCAATGAGGCAGCAAAACCAGGCAGTTCCTTCCCAGCCTTGCTGGGAGGCCTATGCTGTGCTGCTGGAGCAGCCTCTTCCTGCCACAGTGACATCTGTGGTTCACAAGAAATGTAGAGCAGAAACTTCTGCCTAGAGCAGGGCAGTCTGCTCATCTTGAGCATGTTGGGGCTGGCTGTGACCTCTCTGCCTTCTCCTCCTCAGGCTCCCGGCCTCTCTCCAGCCCCAATGGCCTGCCAAGAGAGTGAGTACCTGGATGAGCATGGGCAATGTACCCCCTGCATCAACTGCAAGCCTGGACTGGAGCTTTCCAAGGTAAATTGGCTGCTCTGGAAGGACCAGGAATCATCTGGCACTGAGGCTTTTACAGTGCCAGGGGAATCCTCTACCAGCTTTCCTTTGGAAGGATGATCTTGGGTCCTGGCATGCTGGGAAGAGCTGGGGCTCGGTGGGAAGGGGCAGTGAACAGTTTCCCTCACCCTGGACAGGAGGGGAGATGGTGGCAGTGACGGTAGGAAGGGCTTTCAAGTTTCTGCTTGGTGCCCTCTTCCCTTTTGGCTGATGGAAATGAGAGTCTCCTGGCCCGTAATGCAGTGAAGCTGTGCTGCCTGGCCCGGTGGGCCCTGGGTGGGCACCAGAGGACGTGGCTGCAGAGGGTCTGGCCCAGCCTCAGCCGTGGGGCTGGCATGGGGTCCCCCTGAGACATGCTCCCCAGGACATGTCACTGCTGGAGCTTTCCTATTCCTTAACCACTGCCGGTGGCCCTGGCTGGGCAGCACTCGGCATCCCTGTCTCTGCTCTCATGGCATCTGCCCTCAGCTGGGTCTTGAGGACCCTTTGTAGTGACCCCTCCACCTGTTGTCCCCAAGAAGGGGTGCCATTCCCTTGGGCATTGCTTTGGGACCTGAAGTGGCTCCTTGCCACAGGCACGCACTGACCTCGTGTCCTGCAGGACTGCGGCGATGGCAGCGGGGGGGACGCGCAGTGTGTCCCCTGCCCTCCCAGGAAGTTCAAGGACAGTTGGGGCCACCACGGCTGCAAGCCCTGCCTGTCCTGCGCCCTCATCAACCGTGTCCAGAAGTCCAACTGCACGGCAACGACCAACGCTATCTGTGGGGAGTGCCTGCCAGGGTGAGTGGGGCTGGACCCGGGTCCCGCGGGGCTGCCATGGGCACACCTGGGAGCCTGCAGGGAGGGCGTGGGTGGGGGGTTTGTCTGGGTTCACCCAGAACATAGAACTTGAGAGGAGCCCTGGTAACCCCAGGCTGCCTCTTGAGGACACTATAAATGACATGCCCATCAGACCCATCTGATAGCCCCCTTGTAGCTCTAGAGAAGGGAACCTGAAGGCTTCCATGAACGAGCAGTGGAAGAAAACTCCTTCCAGGCCTGAGTTGTTCCTGTTGACACCCAGGTGGCTAAGCCCTGGAATATGAATGACTAGTGCCACTGGTGATCCCCAAAGAAGACAGACTATGCTTCGGGTGATGGGTTTAAGGAGCTGCTGAAGTGCAGGCTGCTGTGAAGTGCCTGAGGGCTGCAGACCACGTGCAGGCCAGTAGTGTGGCTCCTGAGAGAGGAGCCAGAATGGGCTCTGGTTTATGAACCTCTTCCCAGATGTGGTTCTAGGCTGGGGTGTTTCTGTGGCTTAGTGGAGCTATTGATCACTAGCACCCACTTTAGCAGATGTGGGATGGGGGAGACAGTTTGAGTGATGTCTCCCCTTGGCCAGAGGGTGACAGATGTGAAAAAGTACCTGTGGGTGCAGCTTCAGCCAGCAATAGTGAGACCTGCTGCCTTGAGGCATCCCAGCCCACCGGGCAGGAGGAGTTGCATGAACCCCATCTCCCCGTAGCTGGGCTGCTGGGGGTCACCGTGGGCTGTGTGGCGAGGAGACCCTCTGCTCTCTTGGCAGGTTCTACCGGAAGGCGCGGATCAGCGGGCAGCTGGACTGGGAGTGCATCCCTTGCACCAAGCAGACCCCCACCTCTGAGCCTCAGTGTACGTGCTGTCCCTCACCTGTAGGGACCAAGGCCCTCTGGGATAGAGGGGTGGTGAGGACATGGCAAAGCGTGGTGCATGCCAAGTCATTCATTGTGACCATGTCAAAGGTGCTCAGATGTGCACCGTCCTCTCACTGATCCTGCTTGCTGTCCCACAGACCTGCTGGACAAAGGAGGCATGGTCATCACACATGGAGAGGAATGGGCAGGGGGGGTGCCCAAGCCTGGGGTTAGGCTCCAATGTTTTGTGGGTGGTGTGTTTGCAGGTCGATCCAGAGTAAACCTGGTGAAGGTAGCCATCCCCACTGTACCACCGCAGGGCACAGCCCTTCTTGCCCTGACCAGCAGTGCCCTGGTCATCATCGTACTGGTGCTTCTGGCCCTCTCCATCATCTACTGCAAGCGGTTTTGGAAGAGCCAGTGCCAGCGAGGTGAGTTGACACCTGCAGAGGTTCTCTCTCTTTGCCAGTCACACGTACCTGTGGCCCCTCCTCGCCATGTAGAATGCTGCCCCTGCTGCTGCCACTCTTGCAGCATACAGTGACCCAAACATGCCTCTGCTCCTGCAGAAGAAACACATTTCGACATCTGCAGGACCTCTCTTGTGCTTTGCCTGTTCCAAGTCCCAGCAGAGCCTCCTTCCTCCTTGGTACCGTAGTCAGGAGGAGGAGAAGGCTGTTCCACAGCCAGAGCTGGCTGTCCTCTTTCCTGGGGTTTCCTGGCGGCAGGTTAAGGTTCAGCACCTCCTTGCAGAGCAGGGCTGTTGGACTAGTTAGGGAAGAGGGCAATGGGTTTGGTGGCTGGGGTTGGGACAGGCTGGCATCCAGCCGGTGGACATACCTCACAGCTGAGGACACACCAGGGAAGCAAGCCAAGCCTTTGCTCAGACTGCTTCTCCTCTATCCTCCAAGTCTTCCTGAGGACTCAGAACTTCTCAGGCCAGCGAGCAACGTTCCCAACCACGGCGGCACCTGGCAGATTCCTGTGTGAGGAGCAGATGTCTAGTCCCTGCTGCCTGGGTATGAAGAACTGCTACAGGCAGGCAGAAGGTACCTGCTCCTGCAGCCCTCCTCTCAGGGGTAGGGAGGGAGGGTGGTGCTGGGCTCCAGAAGACATACTGAGATGCCCTTAGGCAGGAAGGACAGTGTCCGAGTCCCAGCAGTGTGAAATTCAGGACCACCCTTAGAAACACTTGCAGACCTTGAACCAGGAATGCTCCCATGCAGCCCCTCCAGCTCCTGATTCCCCCCCAGCCTGCTCCTGCTCTCCCTGCAACTGGGGGGAGGGCCCAGCCACTCTCAAAACTTTGCAGGAAGGCACCAAAATGGCTTTGCTCTGTGGTACAGGGGTCTGGCCTCTGCCTGGTGGCTTCGGGTTGTGCTGAGTCCCACCCCTTTCTGGTTTCAGGCCCCATGGAAGCAGCGCAGTACATTTCGGAGGGTGAAGCCGTGGGTCTCCAGCTTCCCTCCCTCCAGCTGGAGATGGAAATACCCCCAGCTGTGGCAGTTGGCACTGCCTCCAAAGCCCAGCTGGGCAGGAGCCTCCTGGAAAGCCAGCCCCTCATCCGTGCTTCGGGCTGCAGCGACTGCCTGGCGGGGGTCCTGCCACCTGCAGCCCCCTGGCAGGGCCAGCCAGAGGCTCCTGCCCCCCTCTCCTCCTGCGCCTCCGAGATGCAGCACAAGTGGCCTCACGCCCCGGTGGAGTGCACCGAGCTGGACCTCCAGAAGTTCTCCACTCAGGCAGACTTTGTGGGCAGCGAGCGGCCGGAGGAGGCGGCGCCGAGGGTCCTGGGGGAGAGCGGGGGCAGTGGGCGGGAGGGGGCCCTGCGCCCACCCCCCACCTTCCCCAACCCCACTGCTGAAAGCGGGGAGCAGCCGGTGAGTTCCCCCAGCCTCTGTGCTCCTCTGACCTGCTGCTGGACACCCAGGGCTCAGGCACAGGGTGCTGGGCTGGCCAATGTTTAGGGATGGAGACAAAGGTTCATTAATACCAGGGACTAAGTGGTAATTACTGAGAAAGATTTGCCAGGTGTTTGGTGATATGTCACTCATGACATCAGCCATGGAGATGTGAACTGCTGAGGTAGTTTCAAACATCCCAAAGGCTATAGTCAACCTATCAAATGTATGATTATATCTTTAACTGATGTGCTCTCAAGTGGCTCATGTCCTCCTGCTCTCCAGAAAGCTGACCTGGCAGTCTGGGGAGCTGCTTCCTCCTCTCTCTCTGCTGAGGTCTCAGTGCATCCAGTAACTAGCATCTTGTTTGGCAGAGAGATGCATCAAACAGCTTCACTCCAGGTCACTGTTCATGAAAGCAGTTTGCTGGGAGGCCCTGGAGCATCCCAGGGAAGCCACTGGCTCTGTGGAGTAGTTGTGCTGGAAGGAGAAGTGCTGTTCCTCCATGATGGTTCTGGGAGCAGAGGCAGGCCTTGCTGTTCTCACCAGACTGCCACCAACCTTTGGTCTTTGTCTTGCCAGGTGGATGATGCCCAGAGCCTTGTGACTCAGATCAGCAGCACGGCCAAGGGTATGTGTCTTTCCAGCCTTGTCTTTGTTCTCCAAGTATTGGGGTAGCAGAGAGAGGCAGATCTGAGAAGGGAGCTCCTCCAGAAGTCCACCATGGCTATGTGGAGGTGACTTTCGTGGCCTTTGGTGTTAGTTCACAAGGTGGATTTTCTCTGATATCCCTTGAATAGTCTGCAGGTGGTTGGCAGGTGGATGCCCAGATGTCACTAGTTACCTGCCTCTCCAGGACTGAGCCAGCTCTATGCTGCTGAGCTCTGAAGGTGATGTTGGAGGAGATACCTGCCCTGGCAGGATGGTGTTTCACCTGCTTTTCAGGAACGGGGCTGGAGTCTGTTTTTCATATCCTGGGCAGATAGGCTGGTTTCTAACCCCATTTTGCTGTGCTGCTCCCCCCAGGTCTCCCAGTAGCAGAACTGCCCCATTCCTTGGTGCAGTCACTTGCCTTCTTGTTGGACCCTTCCGTGAATGGTGTGAAGAACTTCAGCCATGTGGCACTGGAGCTGGGGGTCACGCCCCAGCTGCTGGGACGGATCTCTGGATTTGAGCAGCTCGTTGCTCACTTCACCTACTCAGGGGCCATGGTCACCATCCCCCTCCTGGCACAGGCTCTGCAGCGGCTCCAGCGCTTCGATGCTCTGCTCCTGCTCTGTGACCACCTGCTGCTCAGCCAGGCCCAGGGCCACCAGCACTAGGGAGAGCCGGGAAGGACACAGGAAGCTCCAGGCACTAGGTGGTACAGGAGAGCCCTATGGTCACATCATCTCTCTGGTGTGTATGTGGGGAGCACGTGGAGATGGTCTTTTTGCATCATGGACCAGGAGGACACGGCGGGGAACACCCATCCCTCCTCTGGGGAGCATCTCTCCCTCCCAGGGCAATGCCAGGAGGACACAGCCATTCCTCCTCCCAGCCTTTGTGCAGGAGGTTCACTCAGGCCCCTCTGGAGGCCATTTTTCCCCCTTGTCTGGGAGCAGGGTGCCATGGGTGGCTCGCTCTGCAGTGTCTCCAAGCTGCCCCCACTCACGGTGTGGGGTCCCTGAGCCATGGGGCTCCATGTCTGTGGGCAGCCACCCTCTGCTGGACCGAGCCATCACCTCCCTCCCATTCCAGCTTTCCTATCCTTTGTGTCTGGCCTGTGCCCTTCTTTCCCAGATGCCAATTCCCCAGTTTACTTTTCTCGCCTCCCTCCCCCTCTGTCAGAGATGGTCCTTGGCAGAGGACCTGGCTGCTGTGCCAGGCTCCAGCCTTTGGCCTCCCTGTGCCACCCTGGCACCTTCCCCTTGGTGTCCCTTTCGTGAAGCCACACAGGAGTCTCAGACTGACCCCGGGGGTGGGTTGGTGTGTCCTTGTCACAGTGCAGTGCTGTGGCTGCCACCCCAGGCAGGGTGCTGGCTCACACCCCAGCCCTGCAGGCACCTGCTGGTGGGGCTTTGCAAGCTGTTCTGCTGGGACTTGGGTGGCAGAGGCAGGGCTGCTCAGCTGGCGCCAGCTCCAGGCAGCAGCTGGAGGCTGAAGCTGTGGCTCATACGTGACATCCCTATGCCCGTCACAGCAGAGCTGGCTTCTTTAAAATTAATCTTTTTTCTTTCCCCCCCCTGCCCAAAAATGGCATAATTTTCTCATTTCTGGGAGTACCCGCCAGGGAGGGGAGCACCCTTCTGCTTTTAATTTCTGCCTGGAGGATGTCTCAGAGCTGCAGGCGGCCGGGCTGTTCTGCGGACCCTGCCCCGGGCCCGGGCGCGGTTCTGCCAGAGCCGGAACCAGAGCCGAGCCCCGCTCCTGCTGCGGGGCCGGCCGGCGGGCCGGGGCGGGGGT